CTTTTACCCGCGATTTAGTCTGCGTGAAATTAAAGAAACAAAAGTGAATAGCCTACGAGATCTTCCAGACTATCCTCTACATCCATGCCAAATTTGTTTTAGATTCGTTCAGCAGTTTAGGTTACAAACTCTAACAAACATCCATCCATCCATCTAAACTTTCGCATGTATAATATTAGTTAGAGAAGATGTCCATAGCTGTCATGAATCACTACGGTGTTTCCGCCGTTTTTGTTAACCTTTCTCTTATATGAACGTTAATTAATTTTATTAACAACTTTACTTATATGTATGTGTGCTATACGTGGACATTTACTTAATCAAGTTTATACCAGATACTAAACTTAACTTGTTAAGTAACTAAAACATAAACTGTTGCTTATGAGTGTACAGAAGGGACACGGGTGTGTGTACTCTACCTGGATAATCAAATAATTAACTCTATCTTCGTATAGCATACGCCTCGTGTATTCCCGACCCTTGGACCTCAGACCTCTTGTTATCAGACCTCTGATAATAGGTCTGAGTGAGAGAGAAAGATTGATGCTGATGGTATTTATTAATTTTACAAGAGCGTTTTTCAAGAAAACCACGATGATTTTTAGAAATTATTGACCGACTTCCCAAAAGAAGGAGTTACTCAATTCGTTTGTTTTTTTTATGTCTTATAGTAACTTATGTTGTATACTATGATATATCTATCTTATGTCTTACTAATATTATAAATGCGAAAGTTTAGATGGATGGATGTTTGTTAAAGTTTGTAGTCTAAACTGCTGAATGGTTATCTATAAAATTTAGTATAGGTGAAAAGGAAAGTCTGGAAGAACATATAGACTACTTACATTTATTTTTTTAATTCCACGCGTAACTGGGGGCGAAAGCTAGTATTATGCTATTAATAAAATATTATTTGTAAATGTTAAATGAAGGGAAATTTGTATTGTCTTGTTTTCGTACATTAAATAAAGAAGAGTTTGACTTTCATAACAATTTCCAATATGACATCAAATGGTAGACTAAATTCGAAATTTTGATATTTCCACTTTGCCAATTTCACACACATTTTCCCTTAGAGTAAACATCTCAGGTGTGTCTCGACCCACTTATCCAATGTATTAAAAATTTAGACTTCACGAACTTGCACCCTTAGTTCTCACGTCCGGGAGTTGCGGTGCCAACGAACAGCCTTCTCGTAAATTATGCGAAGAGATGGAAATTGCTTTTTCAAAGATAAAGGCACCTGTCAGTCTTTTTAATAAATAATACTTTGGTTTCTTTTATAAAACATTTTTTAATGAAAATAATTCGTCACCAAAAAAAGCATTTTAAAAAACAATCAGACCGGACCCTCTTAAATCATTCAGTATTTAACCAGATGTTTAAGCCAGCATTAGCATAAACGACGAAATCATTTGCCATTATCCCCTGCAGGCTACCAACACTAGCTTGGAAATTAATACCATTGCGTTAGCCGGTTTACGTTCCACCTACAACGTTTAGGCTAATTTGTGGACTGAAATGCTCCATTTTAGAAGCAGTAAGCGATTCAATTATACATCACGTGTGTTACGTATGAAGTATGTTAATAAAATAAGATAGTAAATTGGACAACATAACGAATTTTACGTTTGCTCCATGCTTATTCTTTGACAACTGTCATAATATTCTCTCAAGATAACCTCATTAAAGCAAGCAATAGAAAATGTCAATAACACATATAATTTACTCTCTTTGGTATAATTATTTGGTACAATAATCTCTTACAAATAGAATAGATTAAAACTAAAGTTGTTTAATTGAATTTATTGGCAATATATTTCGTATTGGAGTTGAACGTGTCTAATCTATGATCTGTTGACCACGCCCACAGTCATAGATTAGACGACCGTCAAATGCAGTAGGCACAGGTTTTAATAGTTGAATTTATGGTCGTTCATCTGCCCTAAGGTCGGCTATGAGGTGATTTGCGATGGCGGGAACGTGAGGGACGCCATATTGGAATGCAATGCTAGCTATCAATTATATTTTGTTTTGTCTGGTAACACCAATGAGAAGATGCGTACTGTTTTAAATAGTTGCAGAAATATTTTGTCTTTCATGTTTCATTAATACCTAAATCACTTTCACTTTTCGTGATCAGTTATTTTTATAGTAAAAGAACATTTAAATACAAATAATTTCTCTAGCAAACTTTGTATCATAAGTAGTTAGTAGTTCCAAGTTGCCCAAACTCACCCTGATTGTCTGATTGCAAATAAATTCGTCAAAAAAGACTACCGAACTATCACAGGGCTCCGTCAAACAGTCCGGTCGATACGTTTCCGTGACTTAAGGCAGTAAAACGATGTTACGAAAAAAAAACCAACGTCCGTACAAAAGAAGTTAACATTAAATTATACCGTAATAAATGCCGCAGGGCTATCGACCCTCATAACAAAAATTATTCTCCTAGATTTTCCACGTGGGAAATTTGCGAAGGTGTTCCCCGACTGAATTATGAACGCCCTTAGGTGTATGATTAAAAATATTTTCTGCCAATAAATCGTTAAAGGATAGGCTGTGGATCGAAAAATAAAATTTATCAACCATGGTCCTTCGATAACACAATACCTGTTTAATATTTTTCTAACATATAACAAAACTAGCTTATATATATAGTAAAACTAGCTTTTGCCCTGTCTGTCCGAGTAGGATTAAAAAAAAAAACAAAGGTAACCTATGTGTTCTTCCACACTATGCTCTACGACAATGCCAATTTTCATAGAGTTCAGCAGATTTGAAAGAGCTATCTATCTAAACTTTCCCATTTTAAATATTAGTAAGATTACTGATTAAATAGAAAACATTTTTTAAAAACCTCACTATTTTATTACGGTTTCTCTATTTTAAAGAAATTCTAACCTAACTTTGATATCTTTTCAAATATTTAATAAGATAAATCGCATGAAATACAAACTAGAGGAAAAACTTTAACGTATTTTACTTTCAAATCGAGAAAAGAATATTATTTCTATTCTAATTTTTAAACTCGATCAGAAACCGTATCGGCGCCATATTGAAAAAAAACAAATTGCGTCCATAGACTTGGAAACTCCATTCGGAGTTATTGAAAAAGTTCATTCATTCGTTCACAAGCTCATTGGAATCAATTTTGCGATTACGTTATCTAAAATTGACATTCTTAGAGTTAATTCGTAACACATTTGCTATATAAGGGACCTGTCCCACCAAATTGTCTGATAACAATCCAACTTTGTCTGACAGTGGCGTCATTTTTAAGACATCTGATGCAGCCAGTGATGGTACAGATCCTAAACAACACATTTTTGAACATTCGGTATGTATCATTTTTTAATTGTCAAGTAAAAAATCTATCGTTAAATGCCACGCTACAAAATCACAAAATGCATTTAAAAAATCATTTAGTCAGATTTCTCCCACAGTCTTCAGTAAAGGACTCTCACAACAATTATTCTAATTGTCTTCCCTCATTAGTAAAATTTAACTCCGTACGAAACCTTAAAGCTATTTCTGGCCATAATCAAGTCAATAACATTTTCTTAAATACTGTAATCTGAACTTTCAACGGTGTTAATAATTAAAGAGGGTAGAATCATCACAGGCGTGGAGTTTTCCTTCCGCAGTTATCTTTTAAGCCGACTGAGCGGGACTCCCCGCTTTGTGGTTTAAAGTGAAACGGGGATTTAATAAATTAAGAAATGAACCATAGACATTTATAATGTTTTGTTTTATGTAAACAAGTCTCATAAAAGACTTTACTTTATGATATATTTCGTAGTTAAAAGTAAGGTCTAATTTTAACTCTTGGTGGCTGAGCTGTTTTTATTATTGCTCTGACATGGTTACATTTAGAAAGATAACAGCTCATAGCATAATTTATTCGTTATTATACAAGAAGATTTAGGGAGGCTGTAAACTACACTCATTTTGCCTTTATTAACACTCCAAAGCTATCAACAGTGTACAAACACGTCAACTGATGCACGATTGACACAATGACAGCGTAGTAACGAATGACGACGGTCGCTAATGATGTGTGAAGTATGGATGACTTATCTCTATCTTTCAGACACACTCTTGATACTAAAGTATTGTTAAATTAAGGATTATTAATTGATTACTAAGAGATACTCTCAGTGGAGATTTCTTATACTAATTCGACATTAATTCATCTCTGTATCTGTGTGAATTTAGAAGTAAATTAAATGATTATGCACTTACATACATCCTTAACACAATGTTAGGTTGAATGTTAATGTTACGTTCTATTACGTATTTCTATTTGGAGCAATTAACCTCTCTCCATCTTCAAACATCCGTTTATATTTAATCTCTATTCTACTGAGATAATCCCTATCTTCTTTTTTAATTTCTTCCTCTTGAAAGGATACTTTTTTCTAAACACAATAAGCCCGCTAGCAACAAAAGGCGGAATGATCTTCCAAGTACTTCATTACAGGACGGATCAAAATGGCGGCGGCCGAATCCTCCGAATAATCCATGCAAACAGATTTGCATATTTTGTATCGCGAAAAGACTGCGTTTACTAACTCTGGGAATTCTATTTCATCACACAAAGGCAAAACGGTTTCTACAACACACGGTTTTAATTTCGTAAACAAAACAATGATTCTTACGCTATTCAAATTGGTCTCTTCTTTCATGTTATGGTTTACTAAAAGGTCTTTAAATTTAGGTAAACTTGCAATAAAATGTAAAAATGTACCACATTACCACATTGAAATTTTTTTAATACTAGCTTTCGCTCCCGACTCCGTCCGTTATTGAAAAAACAAAAGCAAGTAAGTCTATGTGTTCGTCCAGACTATTTTCTAGATCTATGCCAAATTTCATCAAGATCCGTTCAGCAGTTTAAGCTACAAACTCTAACAAACATCCATCTAAACTTCCACATTTAGAATATTAGTATGAAGTATGATAATGTAATGATTATTAAATTTAATTTATTTTTTCAGAATGGAGGAGACAGTTCGATCTCTGCTTCAATACAAGAGCCGCGTGGAAATTCTGAAGCAAGAGAAAGCATCTTTGTCATCAGCTCTAGAGGTGAGTTATATACAATAACAATTATATTCATACACTATTCGCTTCCTTTAGTTTTTTCTACATTTTCACACTCATTTATCTATTTTGAACCAATCACAAAACGTATTAGACAATTCGTTTGAATTTTTAAATCAACTTCGTTCTCATCTGTCTGTTCTAAAAATCTTGAGGTACTGATACGCTCTTAAAAATAATTAAATTATTGAGCAAATGTTAGATTCCAGTTTAATAACGATACTAGAAATAGATAGTAGTTAATTTTCACTGATAGTAATCTATACTATTATAATAAAGCGTAAACACACACTTCTTTGTTGCCTAAGATGTCAGCAATTACAGCATATTTTTGAATAATTCTTTCTTTAATAAAAAGCCCTACACTTACGTCACGCTTTAGACTATATATTTTCATGCCATTAAACTTAGTAGGTAAATATTTTGGATAAAAACCCTAATGTGGGAAAGAGACCATAAGTTGCTGCAAACATTAAGGAAGCAAGGTTGACATGGTTTGTTATCATGTCATGTCATTTTGACATTTGCAATTGAATTTGACAAATGTAATGAATAAAACAATTTTCATAATTTCATACGAATGAAGTCGCACGGGAACAGCTAGTTGGATATACGATAGTACTGTAAACGGTAATAGGGTCCCCAACTTGTCTACTCGTTTGGTGACATTAAAGAGCATTTATCGTGGCAGAGGGGGACAGGCGATCATTTTTGGATTATAACTGCCCCTGCAGATAGAGGAATTAATTTGCGAAAGTACCCATCAAAAACCAATATAAGTAGACCTTCAAATCTCCAAAGAGCAACCCCGTTTTCTTCCTATTTCGTTTGACAGTTGGGAGGGTGTAAGGGTCATTTTAATCTGGTCTGTTCATAACTGGACGTTCTTTGAAGGATTATGAACGACGGCGTGTGTTTGAAAGGGGGTGCGATGTTTTTGCGTAATGGTTCGGTCATTTTCTTATTACGAAGTGGTACTTAAGTACGCTGTATGGTGGGAGGAAAGCCGATTAGACCCCCAAATACAGAGAGCTAGAATTAGGGGAAATTATTTTATCTTACAATTTGTCTTGAAAAATGCTAGTAAGTCTTGGATATACGATAAAAATTATGTACAAATAAATAACCCTCGAATGCTTTTGACAATAAGGAAATTCTTAGAGCTGATATTAAATAGGGACATGTACACAATAGGAGGTAGGCAGGTATCATTCAACAGTGACGGGAAATGGAAAAATCAAAATTCGTTCGCGTTCGCCATTCAAATTTGTAGATAACGTTGACGTTGATATGAGGGGAACGAACAAAGAAGCAGCAGACGACGGACATGAAAATACCAAACGAAATACCACTGAAATACCAGTTTTAGAAACAGAGATGTTTGAATATTCTGCCAATCACAAAATTGCAACATGCTTTATCATATTAATAATGCAAAGGTTTGGATGGATGTTTAGATGTTTGTTAAAGGTATCTCCTAAACGGCTGAATGGGCTGATGTTTGGTATAATGTTTATTTTATATCCGGGCGGAGAGTCGCGGGACAAAGCTAGTAATTGATAATTAGGTTTTATCTTTTATTTAATGCTTTTGGAATTACAACCTAGACAAGTTTCGATTATTCTATATTTTTTTTCTGAAATATGAATCAATTGATATCCATTCTATTACCTATACAAATACTGGACATTTGTCTAAAAGGGATACGCAATACGAACAGTCCCTAGAATTCAAAAGAATCTATCTAACTTCTCTGCACGTTAGGGAGCGGAAGAAATACGTCAGTTTAATGAAAATATTTTAAATATTTGTACTCGATTCTTGCTTTGGAAAATCCTTGCAAAAACCAAGAAGAAAGACCTTTACGATCGGTAACATTATTATTAGGTATTACGTACTTTATGTATCATTTTACATTGGTCGAAATTATGAAACTGGGGTCCACGATGAATTTTTAATTCAGCAGCTTAGTGAATATTTGGGGAACAATTTGCAACTTAATATTGCACGGCCGGAGCGGAGACCCCTTGGAACTTTTTACGGGGTGTTTGAAGAGGGAAAATCCTTTTGTTTGGTAGAAAATTTTTATACATTTTGATAAAAAGTCTTTTATGTTTGAAATTTTTTTTATGTTTCTCATTTCAATACTATCTTTAAAGTTTTTATCTGAAAACTTTTAATTAGGTAAATACACAAATAAAACACCCGAAATCTCAGTAGGTAGACTGCATGCAAAGCTTCAACCCTACAGTCCGCTTACATCGAACCCCTCTGAAGTGATCACAGCACGATTGCAAAACGACAACCGCACGGACAGTAATAAAGCCAGTACAAATGGCAACAATCACTCACACTCGCAACACTGCACACGGTTTCGACCAATGCAAACATTAAAAAAAAATGATGTAGTACCCAATAACAATACAGTAGGCTTAGCCATGAGACGGGTCATGGGAGGCAGGGATGATATAAAAATTACTTCAAATAAGACCATGTTAACAGTGGCTAGGTCGGCAGGCGATGTCCATTAGTTACGTATCTTTTAATATACTTAAGTGATGCAATACTATTCAAAAGTAAGCATCAACAATAAGAATATTGTACAAATTCAAAGCAATGTAGAAAATTTGATTATCATTTAAGTAACAAAGACAAATAGTTAATAGTCGGAGAACCCTAAAAGTACTCTTACTTCAATACTAATATAAAAGAGATAAATACTGAGATAATATAAATAATCATACTAATATTATAAATGTGAAAGTTTGGATGGATAGATGGATGGATGTTTGTTAGAGTTTGTAGCCTAAACGGCTGAACGGATCTGGATGAAATTTGGCACAGACGTAGAGGATAGTCTGTAAAAACACATAGTACTCACTTTTGTTTTTTTTAATTCCGGACGGAGTCGCGGGCGAAAGCTAGTAACGAATAAATAATAAAATACCTGAAGTAAAACATTAGTCTATAGCTCACTAGTTCTGGTACTTTACTTAAAAAAAAAATTAAAAGCATGTAATAATACATTTTGCTTTATAGAGCGTAGGTTCACAATAGAATGATGTAAGGACATTAGAATGGCGGGAAACGGGAAATCGACTATGCACAATAGCTGGGGTTTCCCGGTTTTAAAGCTCCCCGCACCCTCCGCATCCCCCGCCCCTGGGCCTCTAAACAATAATTCAGCTTCACCCTTCCGAAGTGCAAGGGCGCAGTAATTGAGGGCAGCTATAGGAACGGTCAGTTGAATATCGATATTGAAAAATTTTACAAATTTTTCATCGATTATTTGTAACAAACATTTTAATTTAAAATTTAGTTTTATTCTCGGGTTAATATTGTTAACCATAAATGAATACATTTATTGACAACGCTTGATATACTAGATTAAGTAGATATTGTAAACAACCAAATCTATAAAGTGATACTATCATCGTCACATAGTATAGAAGTCAAATCAAGTACTAGTGAGACAAGATATTTTGTAAATGTTTATCGATATATTTTTCCGTACGAGAGCACATCACTAGCGCACGTTCACGGCAGGGGTGCATAGTCCGGGCGCCCGCCGGCCGCGGCGCCAATCATCACATTTACACTTGCACTCTAATTGTGTTTACCCGTTATTTGGTTATGTTATTTGTAAATACAAGCTTGAAGATGACGCCCAAATGCGTTGCGTACGGTAAAAATTGAAGCACAGATATCGCGAAAATAAATTATCTAATATTTTCTCCCAAAACACGAGCTGAGATTTGGAATATTTTACATAAATTTTTAACACTAGCTAGCCGTGGATTGTTTCCGCGTGGAATTAGAAAAAAAAAACAAAAATGATCATAGCCTATGTGTTCTTCCAGACTATCATCTATAGTTACGCCAAATTTCATCGAAATTCGTTCAGCCGTTTAGGCTACAAACAAACATACATACATCCATCTAAACTTTCGTATTTATAATACTAGTATTAGTGCGATAAATATTTTAGCGGCAATCGATTGGCGATGGAAATCTAATGCATATTAAAACTGCTTACCAAGCGTCGAGTTTCACGTTAAAAACTATTACTAGGTAGTTCTAGAGTGAATTAATAGTATTGTTTTAATCTATTATAATTAATTAATATATTCATGATGTATGGATCTGAATGTTGGGCAGTAAAAGAAACGGATGAACGGATGGAAACATGTGACAGAAATGCGAATGTTAAGATGGATGTGTGGGGTAACACGAATGGATAAGATACGAAATGAGTATATTAGAGGAAGTTTGAGAGTAGCCCCCATAGTAGAGAAGGTAAGGAGTAAAAGGTTAGCATGATATGGGCATGTTATGAGGAGGGATGAATCGCATGTTACAAGGAGAACGTTAGATATGAGTGTGGAAGGGTACATCGGTAGAGGTAGACCTAGAAAGAGATGGATGGATTGTGTAAAAGGTGACATGATCAAAAAGGGAGTGATGACTGAGATGACGTATGATAGAGTTATGTGGAGGACAAAAACCTGTTGCTCCGACCCTACGGGAGTAGGATAAGGAGATGATGATGATGATGATGATGATGATGATGATGATGATGATGATGATGATGATGTTTTAATCTATGCTAAAAAAAAATGGAGACTAGCACTGTGTTCATTAGTTTATTGTTGATTTTTCAGTGTGCCCCTTACTAAAAAATTGTATTCCTAACAAGTTAATATAAATCTGGTAGTCATAGTTTTCGGAATTGAAGTGCAAGTCGGGTCTCCGCGGAGTAACTGAGGCGTTACATAATTGAGTTGATGCCAGTCGCTGATGGCAGCGCTGGTAACGAAACCAATTAGTGCGTGCCCATTGTTATACGACACGACACTTTATATTTGTTGATACATTTCTCTCCTCATCACATATTATTCCAAAATTAAGTCTTCAAATTTTGATAACAATAAATGCTAATACTTGACAAGATAACTAATATAGCCTTGCCACCATTAATTTAGAAAAAAAAACAAACAGTTACCATAAAAATCTCTTCTATTTCTAACTATCTGTAAAGTTACTTAACAATTTTGTGTAAATCAATTAATATTGTAACAATGGAAACACGGCAAGTACAAGATAGTTAGCCAACGCTGGCTTAGTCTCAATTGGGTTAAAGATAATGCGTCTCCTGAAGCATAAACTACCACATCGACAAATATTCCAAGCGTATATATGAATAGTTCAGTCGAATTAGTATTATTATGTACAGTATCAATAAATACACCTAGTAACAGTGACATGAAGACAGATCAGATGACGTCACGATTGCGTACGTACAAGCATTATAACCAGTTGTTGCTCGCGACTTCGTCTACGTGAAAATTGAAGAATAGTAACATAGCTTTTTAATGGTGAAAGATTTTTTTAAATCGGCCCAGTACTTTTAGAGTTATTTCAATACAATAACACAAATATCCTCTTTATAATATAAGTGTATGCTCGTAGGAGAAGCAATCTGTATTGCTTCTCATTGCATGAGCAAGAGATTCACAAAAAAAGCATAATATTTTATTTCTAACAAGAAATTAATAAATGCGTCTACAATACGCCTATGTACCTACATTTATTTATGTCAATGTTTAGTATATAATGTATAGATGAGTAACATAGGTCGGTAAATACCAGACACGCATGACCGGCCAAAGGTAATATGTACACTGTGGGCCATGATTAATGGCACAAAAGCGGTTTAATTCCGCTTATTGTCGTAAATGTAATCAGTTCGCTGAAAAGCGCCCTCTGACGCTTCACGCTAGAAACAAAGCGTGCGCGAATACAGTTTGGAGGTTTGGATTTTAGTGTCATTAATCTTATGAAAGTGCAACTTTTGGTGTGATTATCTAATTGTTTTAGGAACTTTTGGTATATGGTAACAATAGCATTTTGTCCATATACGATAAAGTTATCTCATATTTAATTAATTAGTTGTTTGTGACGATACCGTGTAATTAATATGCCAAATGTTGGTTAATCGCGCTTAAAGAAGTAACGTTATACAAAACAAAATTATGCAGAAAACAGTTAATTTACTCTTAATGCTTAATTACTAATAATGTCTTCACAAACTTAGATTAGGCATTTATAGGCACAAAAACCTAAAGAAAATGGTAAAATGCCGTGCACAGACCAGACAGGTAGGGAATCATGGGGTTTAGCGGTACCGAAGGGGGTTGCGGAGGGTTCGGGGGCGGCTACGGAGCGGGAAAGTGACGTTTGATAAATCGACAGCAACAGTTCAGGGTTGTGATTTATATGAAAACTTACCGCTTGGTAACAACGGCGCGCTGCCAATGCTAATCGCGTGCATTTACTGACGGTACTAGGGGTTCATAAGCTTATACTAAATATAATGGAAAATCAACGTCGAGATAAATACGGAATTACTTAGAGCGTGCTCACAACTGAAACTACTCTATCGCATAACTTTTTAGTCGCGCTTTGATTCGTATGAGCTTTTATGGAGTCATACTATTCGATTTTTAGTTGTGCGACTAAACAGTTGAATTGGCTGCGAAACAATCGACAATCCCACAAAAGTTTTGCAATGTTTTCGTCAAAGGTGTGCCTCCGCTCTTAATCTATAGTGTTTGATACTTTACATACCTTAAATTACATTGTCTAAATGTTGTTTTTGAAGTAACTTTTTATATTGATACTGTTAGTATACAGCGCATTGTAGTAAAAATACGTTAAAATTTTGATGTCGAATGTATATTTAAACAAGTTTACTTTAGAGATTTCATATCAATTAATAACATTTAAGATTGATTGCATTCTATTAAATCTCGGAAGCCATTTATATTGAAAGGAAAGCAAGACGAATGTAGAGTTTTGTTCCCTTGAATAGACCTGCCTTGAGAGTTTATTTCAGTGTCGTTTGATGAAGAATCGATTCTGCCAAGACTTAATTACCTCCCGTAGAAACATCTGCGTCTACGGCGAATGGATTTCAATTAAATTTACAGAAAAGCTTTACACGAAGTCGTACTAATACGTTGTTAAGAAGTCCACCTGTTTAATTATAATTTCCTTATTAAAACTTCGTATTAATTAAGGTTATTAATAATTTTATATCCATTTCTTTTGATTTTCATTCAACGTAAGGTCTAGTGTTGTTTATACTCTGTACCAAAGTCTACACAGATAAAAAACTCTCAATCCATAGATTAAACATAAACGATGACATCTTGGACGTTAGGCATCAAAAATGACAGCTGTCATTTGATATGTTTACATACAAAGTATCGTAATATGTTATGTATAAATGGAATAAGTAAATGAATAATATTGTTATTAAATACATTTTTTAAAGTATCAGGAATTGCTGGATTAATATTATAGTACTCTAAGCATTGTTACCTGCGTGTTTTCTAGGCGAGTATTCTAGCTTTGTAACGTTTAAGAAGGAGAAATTAGTGGTCGAAACTTAATACGGTGCCCAGCCGACACTTAAGCCGTTTTTGGTCATGCAAACCCCCTAAAATTGCACAGCGGTAAAAGCGATGTCGAAATTAAATGCACGTAACCTCACCCATTGAAACATCACCCCTCGGGCGTCGTATCAACCGCGTGTTGTTGCAGACAGACAGACATACAAACAGATTGGTCTTTGTGTCTCGCCCCCTATTTGATGACTAATGAAAAGCGACTACCGCAAAACACAATACGCAACATTATTGAACCTTTTTGTTGACGGAATAAGGTATCAATTTGAGTGTTGAAAACGCAATATTATAATTGTATTTGTGAGCACCTGTCCGATATTATAAGAGCTCCGACCGTGAATGCTACGGTTTTCATTCGTGACTTCTGTTTAGGTGAAAATGGAGTGTAGCGGCTCAATTTGTGGTGGTCGTTTATTTTAGTACTAACTATGGGAGGTCGCTTAATTAAGAGTGCGAATGATAGGCGCTTTTTAAGTTCTTTTTAAAGACATGAAAGCCGCGTCGATAGTAAATGCGTCATGCTGATGGTTGATTGAACGTAAACATTAGTTACAATGACATTTCACTGTTAAGGCTCTTAACAATGAATACTTTAAGGCCTTTGAAATTTACAATGGAACAGTTTTCTGAAAGAAATGTTTAGACGATTCTCATTTCATTCAGTACCATTCATCATTTCTCTAATATCGCTAAATTCTTCATTAAATTTAACCACCAATTAATATTAAAAATATATTCATAACCCGATGATGTCCATTTCGGTTGCCTTTTCGGTTATGACGGGGTGTTGACGTAGTGACGTTTGCAGACGTCAGCGGCACAGTACCAGGGCCAGGTGGCAGCACTGAGCGCGGAGAACGAGCGGCTGCGGCGCCAGCTGAGTGCACTGGCCGCGCCGGAGCCTGCGCTCGGTGAACACGAGCGCCGGCTGGACGATGTCGCTCAGCAAGTCGTGCGGGCGCTTCTCTCACAAAAGGTGAAATTGTTTGCTTAGTGACTAAACCATTCTAGAAATACTAGAGATACCTAAATCTTAAAGGCACCAAGTAATACGCTAAGAAACGTAGCATTTAAAAGTAACAGTGTATTGTGTAAAAAAATCTTTTAAAACTCCATCGTATAAAATATACCCATAGCTTTTAAAACCGTAACGATCTGCTAAGCCAAGAGACAAAGTAACGACACCGCTCATCGTTATTTATGTGACAAAGCCACTCTTCGTCGGAATTAGTATATTTGTCCAAAAAATGGTTAGCATTAGAATCTCTTAATCCAGAGGAAGCATTAAGATGCCTCGGAAATTGTTTTCTCATAATTATGGCACACATTCTCGCGGCCGTGGATTACGCTCTGCTCCTTTCGCACATAAATCCAACGAAATGGGACAATTCGCCCTCGCCCACCACAGTAATAATTTCACAGGAGCCCTTGCCCACTATAATCTTGGTATAATCTGCCCGATAATGCGACCGTTTGCGTTTAAATCCGTTTCGAGATCGTCCATGTTTGTACCGATTTCGCGCCTATCCTAAAACAAAGATGGCGGGTGACGACAATAGTTTCTTCTCATTTGTAGTGTAATTTTTAGAATGTGTCACTACTAAAATATATTTGTTAACTATTGCAATATATTCTGTGATACCTCAAATTTGTCTTAAAAAATCTCATTACAGCTCACTGTAGCATATAAACTGTAAGAGAAATTACTCATAAGACAATATTAATCCCGCGGTACTCTATCATCGGAACCCCGTCTGTCGGTAATTACTGCTTCAGGATAATTCCACGTAAATCCTCACGTGTCGTATTATTCAATATCAAATAGCAATAATTATTCGAGGGGTAAACGTCTATCAAATTTTGATATATGAAGACATTGATTACTTAAGTTTGCTTGATATAAAATTAAATGTGCTTAAACGGTTAAGCGCAAACTACCGAAATTGTCAATAAATGGTCACTATAGCAGGCTTTTGACTGTAAATACGGCAGTGAAAAGTGTAAATAATTTATACATCTTCGAATTTAATGAGCCTTCTGTCTGCTGTTCCTTTCTTCTTTCTGAATCTCTGTAATTACGGAACGTCGATTACGTTACTCCAATTTAATACGGCTAATGAAGCGTAATTAAAATATACGCGTTCACTTCGACTCCAGCTGATGAGGGAGATGTTACCGTAGCCCGGGATGAAATAATCAATCAGCGCTTGTAGGGAATTATGTCTGTTTAATGTTGTTTATGTTTGTTTCCTCTTCACCTATTTTAGTAAACTAGGTCACTACATCAGTAACGAAATCGCCGTCTAAAAGACCATTATTGACAGTCTCTTACAACTAGATTACGTACCATAATGAAGATATTTATTTGATACTAGCTTTCGCCCGCGACTCCGTCCGCGTGAAATAAAAAGATAATATGTTTACTCACTGACAACGTAGCTTTTTATTGATGAAAGAATTTTTGAAATCCGTCCATAAGCTTTTGAGTGATTTCATTACTATCAGACAAATAAAGTTTTCCTCTTTATAATAGTAGTATAGATTAAAATGAAATATTTGTCCACGATAAAACTACACATAAACTTATCTAACTGTTCTTCTATACCTAGCAATTTATTATGCCTTTATATGTAGAAGTAAAATTCCAAACCAGTCTTTGTTGCTTAAACACAACAAATGACACTCGAATCTTCTATACTAACCTCATAACCTACACGTTTCAGAACGTTCGAGAAGAGTTGTGCTGCGCGAGGGCTCGTGTGCGAGATTTGGAGGCGCAGAACCGTGCGCTGAGCGGCCTACTGGTGCGCCAGTTGCGCCCGCAGCCTCGGCCCTCGCCCGCCTCGCCGCACACCCCGCACACGCCCCACACGCCGCACACGCACACCACGCTCACGCCAAGGGACTTACAAGGTAAACACATGAAACCCCCATGAGACGAGTTGTTGGGTTAATAGTAAATAGTTTTAACATTTTTGTGGTGTTGTGCAGTGCATGTTGTCGAAGTGGGGTCGTGTGGCTCGCTGGTGTCGTTCCGCGACTCCCCCCCGCCGCCCGTCGCACACCCGCATCCCCACGCCCTCAGTCACGACGACAAGCGCCGCCACCAGATCCTCGCCGACATCTGGACCGAGCTCAAAGTACGTAATGTTTATTCCTAATGTTATAATAGTTGCACATACGGTTATTCTTCATTTTATCATGTACTTTATTTTCTTCTTGCAGGGGCTGGAGGTCAGTCCTGGAAACTTGGCTCGCGCGCTGGCGGCTGTAGAGCCCGCCCTGTGGGCGCCGCCTACGCGCCCCGCCACCCTCAGCCTCAACATGCCGCAACCATGCACCAATCCTATCAACGGTAACTTATGATATACCAAGTTTATTATCTCGTCACGTCTAAACATAAAAGTAAAGTGAAAAATAAAAGATAACTCTAACATTATTTTTATAAATTTTTCCAGGTGGTTGCGAGGAAAAAGCCACAGAAGAAGAAAGCGGCGAAGCGGGTGAAGTGGGGGCGGAGTCTCCCGAGAGCGGCGCCAAAGACGAAGGCTACTCAACCATGTCCAGCGACGTGCAGGCGGACGCCTCGCGCCAAAGCGACCACGCGCCCGACCGCGCGCTGCCCGACCTCAACGAGGCCTCCGACGAGACCGACAACCAGACCATAGTCTCCATAAATCCGCGGGAATCACGACGCCACGCGCGCCTCCTGGCCGACGCAGACTATATATATTTCCCGCTGGGTGTCACCTTCGCCGGAGTCAGAGGCAGCTACCCACCTTCGCGACCCGTCCTTCCTTTCCAGCATGTCGTGAGGAGCTTCTCTGACTCCCATCTCTGCCTAAAACTAATAGCGGGAACGACATGCCCCACCAGTTGTCTAGATACCCCCACGCCCAGCTCGGGCGTTCTAGTATTAGATCTCAAACCTGCACCGGAAAGACCTTTGAGAAGACCGGCGATAGCTTCAACGACGAGTTCGGAGAGAGTCTCATGGGGCAGCACGGTGGACGAGCGAGCTGATGGTTCACAATACGATGCGGACTACGTGCAGCATTGGCTGGAGCTGGACGACGCCAGGTCAGCGCTGCAGCAGAGGCATCGGGACCTGGCCGAGTTGGAATACGATAGAGCCGAGTTAGAAGACTGGAGCTTGTCGTTGTCGTGCGAAGATCTCAGAGATAGACAATCTCCTTTTGCCGAAATTACGACACCTGGTCAAATATCACTTTCAACGCTACCGAGTATTAGAGAAGATGATGGGTTAGAGCTAGAGGAAGACGTGGGAGACTGCTTATGGAACGATTGCGGATTCGCGACTGTGGAAATAGATGAATGTAAGATGACGGATGCGGACAACGCGGAGAAGCGCTGGGAGTGTTCCGGAACACATTCCCCGGGAGGATCCTGGTCCAGTGCTTCGGATGCTCCGGAAAAACGATCCAGTACGGCGTTGAGTGAGGACGGCGATTGCACAAATATTGGTGTCGATTTTACTAGAGACTTCTACCGTCTTGTTAAATACGAAAGCACAAAAAGTCTAGCATCGAACTCATCGAGAGGTATTCCGTCTCAAGACCCGAGCAATCATCTGCGAATACACGACGTGCAAGCTATGGCACTGCAGGATCGCGAACAAGCGTTGCAAAATGTACTGCACTTTATAGCGGAACAGCAAAAGTATTGTCGCGACAGGGAGGAATCGGATTCGATGTCGTCTAGGCCCGTATCGGAGATTCGCGAATTACCACCGCCATATGCTTCGGCGGATTACGACGACGACTCCGTGGGCCCCCGCAGCGAGGTGTCGGAGGACAGGCTCCGTCCAGATTCTTTCGGTAGTTTCTCAGAGAACGATTCCAGCGAAATAATTTCTAGTGAAAGACCAAAAGTAGCGTTCTGTGACGTCGTTTCCGAAACAAAGTGTACGCCGAGATTCATCGAACGGGAAGATCCCTATGTCGAGTCTCAGGATTACTTCGATGATTTCTCTCAAGTGGAAAACGCCGAAAACGAAATGGATGACCATCATCTACTAAAGGTTCAAATTAAGAATGAAATAAACAAATGCATCGATACGAGCAACTCGTCCGATTTGAATCAGCCCCTAGCACAAAAAGAGGAGAAAACTTGTGATATCGAATCTAGTCGTAATGTAGACCACAATTCGGCGTTGAAAGAAAATACAGTAAATATAATGTCGAATAAAGTTACACTGTGCGAGAGAGAAGTGGAAACTTGTTTAAGCAAATCTCCTAGTTTTCCGTTGGCGAGCGGAGAAACGGAGATGTCGTTAGTGGAGGAGGTGCTTAGTGCGTGTAGACGGAGCACCGGCTTGCTGGTCCCCGTGCCCGAGGAGGAGGAGGGCTCCTCGCCCGAGAACGGTTCGCCGCAGATGACCGAGTCGAACACGACGAGCACGTCCACCGCTGAAACTGTGATAGTAAGTAATAGGACCGACGGCATCCAGAGGGAGATCCGACCACGGGCGGATAGAAGTCGCATCCCCACTTTCCTCGGGGGCAAAAGGCCGCCGTCTTCGCCGCACAGGACGAGGTCGAAGATCCCCGTCGCGGAAAGAAGTCGGGCGATCGCGGCGGTAGCCCCCACGCCCGAACCGATCATCGTCAAGCAGGAGCACACGCTCAGCTTTCACGAGGCTGCCACCTCGAAGGATGTCATCGACGAACTTAACAGGTAACTAATCACAAATTTTTATATGAAATTGATTTATTTAAAATGTAAAGACTTACATTACTGTAAGACTACAGTATCTTCCAGTTATTACCTCTATGCTTCTAGTCTGAATTTTTATGTTTTGGACTGACTTCCCAAAAGGAGGTACTCAATTCGTCTTTATGTTTTTTTTATGTGGGTTACGGCATAACTCCGCCGCTAGTGGACCGATTTTGATCATTCTTTTTTTTAAATCTATTTGTAGAATGATCCGGCAGAGCGAAGGACAGCCGGCGGCCAGGGGCAGCGGAGAGGAGAGTGGGGAGAGCGGAGAGAGCGGAGAGTCTGGGGAGAGTGGGGAGGGCGCGGAGGGCGGCAGGGACGGCGCGCTGTGGGCGCCCACCGGCTGGGTACACGTGGAGAAAGACATAGACTTCAGTGACCCTAAGGTATCTTGGAAATTTACTTGTATGTAGCATTGGTAATTTGTTATAAATGCTTGGAAACGAGGAAAGGTTCTACAAGACAAATACATAAATATGTAAAACATTTCAGGCTCGGGCGAATCTCTTGGACGTGATGTTGGCGTCGAGCGACTCGTCACCGTCGTCGTGCGGCTCGTCGCCGGCGGAGGCGCCCGCCGCCGCCGCGCCCGCCGCCGCCGCCGCGCCCGCCGCGCCCTACTCCCGCCTGCACAGGCTGCACCGCTCGCGCAGACAAAAAACTGGTAAATTTTAAACTTGTCTATCGCACTCGGCTATGTTTCATACTACACAGCTACCATTCGGTGTTGTGGTTTCAATTTTATTGTTTTTAAAGAGATTAATATATAGACGAATAAAGTTTGAAATATCTTCTCTAAATAAATTGTAAATGTTTATATCTCTGAGAAAAAAATGTTAACTATAAACAAATGGCAATAATACGTTAACCAAAGTAACAGCACCTTGCGATTTTGTTTAAAGAAATATTTTTATCTGTATATTTTAATTTTCGTCTATGTGTATTGTCTATGGTATATTTTTTCTAGTTGTCTATTAATGTAATATCTCTGTGTTTGTGTCTCGCCACAAGTCAAGCCACGCCTCTCGTTTCCGCTCTCACTCACTCGCACCATCTCACTCTCGCCTCATACCGCGTAGTTATCATATACCACGCTCCGGATTGATCTGAATTTGACAATGCTGCCAACAAAATATACTGTAAGCTACGTAAAGCTTTTCTTTGAAATTGTTACTCAATCAAAAAAATATGAGCTAAAAAATATATTTGTATTAAAATGTCTTGTTACATTTGTGACAATGTAAGTCACACTGTAGATAAAAAGTTACTAAGAAAAGCTTTTGAAAAGACACTAAATGACAATCTATATCTTCTATTGTTTTATCCGCGGTCTATGGCAGCCGCCTCTAGCTGAAGTTAGCTAAGTTAGTTGTAAGGTTGGCAGCGTTGTGTCGCCGGAGCGTGCGTAGCGTGGGCAGCGTGTGCAGCGCGTGGGTGCGTGCGGGCGAGGGTTGGCGCCGAGCGTGCTCACGCGTGTGTGTCGTCCAGCGGGGGGCGCTTGTAGCCGCTAACGTGCCTGTTGGTGCAGCGGCGGCGCTGCGCGTGCGGCTGGCCGTGCTGCGCCCGCCGCGCCGCCGCCGCCCCTCCGTGCTGGGCCGCGACGGCTTCTTCGTGCGATACGGCGACCGAGAGCGCGCCGCCGTCGCCGCCTTCGACTTCCTCGACGACCTCTCCGGCTCCGGCGGCTCCTCCCCGGACACCAAAGACTGTACCTAAATTATCTAGCAATAAACTCCTCCCAAATAAACTATATTTTTTTATTGTGATACGGACGCGACCGCTTTCTCTCCGCACGGACAAGCCCCCGTGCCGTCATTGACGCTTGTGAGACGGTTAGCCCAATAGTTTTTACTTAGTGTAGCGTTTTGTAACCGTAAGCCGGGTCTGTTCGGCTGCAGCTTTTCCAACGGCCTCGTGTAACCTTTTCGAGTTAGTTTAGGTGTCGTAGTTGTTTCGATTTGTACTATTCGCTATAATGAGCACCTAGGCTGTAACGTTCTTTCTAGATTCCATTTAGTAGCTTGGGAGATGAGTAGGGAACGTTACGAGGGCGTCGTATTTTATAAAAGGATTGTCGCTGTTCCTTTGCATTCTGAATCTCGAACCTAAAGCCTTGCACTTTGTACCACCTCTTGTACTGTCGGGATGTACCATACCTATACTTTGCGCTTTCTATATCCAAAGTGATGGTATACCCAACGTAATCCGGTCGACTGCTTGCTGCGATGTCTTACGCTTCGAACCAATAAAAGTGTGTTAGGTAAGAAGACGTAATAAGTAATGACTAAGTAATTGAAAGCTGCGGCCTCGAAGTAATGTGATATTTTTGTATATACTGTAAGTCCCACTTATTTTCGTATACATTTAAATGGATTCCTTTCTAACAGAATGAAGTAACTGATGGTCCTAGAGTGAAAAGTGTTTGAGTTTTGTGTAAGCCCGGTCGTGCGACGAGACGAGTCACGCGACCGGATCGCAGATTGTAATGTTAAGTACTTATGTAAATATGGACGATTAACATTTGTGTAACTACATTTAATTATTTAGTCGTAATCTAAAACCTTATAAAATCCATTAAATTGAAGGGTACTAAAATATGATAAGTGTATATATGTTATGACGTCATCGAATGCTATTTATTGATTTGTATCTGTTGCGATTCTTCGACCATTTTGTGTATACTTAGGTACATATCATCGTCTTATGTTATTTGTAGGGTTTATATTTTCTCGCTTTAAGTAACGACTACACCTTCCATTGACTGAAGTAATTTCTGTTATATTTTAAAAGATAATTCGAAATAACATTACATTGTATACTTTATTATAATTTTACCAATCAGTTAATCTTTGTTTTAATTTTAAGTCGTTACTTGCAGCGAGAAACTGTCTTATATAGTTTGCATATTGTAATTCCATTTATTATGGTTATGAACCTTAAGTAGTTTTTGTGGCTTGTAACATTGTATAGATTTTATTAACGGCGGAACCAAAGCATAACACAACTTTGCCACCACTTGTTACGATGCAACACATTTAATTTAACGATATATTTTGGAAAACATTTCTTTTTATCCAGCTTTGTTTAATGGTAACAATGAGGACAATAAAGGAAGATTTTTACATAATAATTAATAATAAACGAAACGACTCGATCGATATCTAAAATATATTACTTATAGACGACATATTACAGCGATTTATATTTAAATTGTGTAACCGCGTCCTTTACGTTCGGATACACGCATCTGACAATGAAAATAGTTTGTAAAAAGTTTTTTATCCGAACATAGACAAATGTCACATCTCATCATTGCATCGTATATCCGAACGTATTCATTAGTTTACGAACAGATTGTAACTATTTTTAAATCACTGTAATTAACAATTTTTATTAAAGATCGTAATCGTTCCTAAGAACTAATCGTTCATTCCTGTATTTTAGGCATTTTGTGCATTCATGTAAACCGTTATTATTTAAGTACCTCGGTATGTAATAAATTGTATTCGATGTAATTTTAGGGTACTGTGAACGGTAACTACCACTGAGTTTCAAAGCACAATTGGAAAATAAATTTATAGTAATAAAAATGCGTATTAATTACCTTTAGTATTGGGTGCATTTGTTAGTTGATGCTACATATGCTAACATAACTTGAGTTAGGTAGGTACTTTGATCAGTACAAAATGTAGAATAACATTATAATTTAATTATCTAATACAGATGGGTTAAATAAACGATTCCGTTCCCAAATAATTATTTTGTTTTATTTATTGCTTGCAATTTCTTTAAAAAAAACTGCCTACGATACTCTAAATCATATTATTATAAATGCGAAAGTTTAGATGGATGGATGTTTGCTTGAGTTTGTAGCCTAAACGACTGAACGGATACTCTTTTTGTTTTTTTTTATTTCCCAGCAGACGGAGTAGCGGGCGAAAGCCAGTGATCTCAAACTTTAAATATTGAATTGACGACTATTTCTCCATTTACAAATAACTTCTAAGAATACAAAATACATCTTAGATATCCTTTATTTTAAATTATCAAATAAATATTAAAAAATAATATGCTCTAAGCCAAATTTAAAGCTGTAACAAAACTATTCGAATTTTATTTGTTCTGTTTTACAACAAACTTGAAAATTGATGGTAAAATATAATTAGCAAGTAATTAAAAAATAACTCTATTTTCCATAGATTTATATAAGACAGATCTTTATGTATGAGTGTGTATGTATAAAAAATAATAAAAAAATCATAGAGTAAACAATATTTATAATATCTATACTATTATAATAAAGCGTAAACACTTCTTTGTTGCCAAAGATGTTGGCAATTACAGCATATTTTCGAATATCTTACGTCACGCTTTAGGCTATATTATGGCGGCACGGCATTAAAATTAAGGGGTAAATATTTTGGTTAAAAACCTTAATGTGGGAAAGAGACCATAAGTTGCTGCCAACATCAAGGAAGCAAAATTGCCATAGTAAGGTAGTTGGTATTTGGACATTTGCAATTGAGAATTTGACAAATGTAAACAATAATATCAAGTTTTTTATTTAATTTTTTATAGCAATGAAGCCGTACGGGAACAGCTAGACTAATATAATTGTGATGCTAAAAAGACTAAACTAAAGAAAATAAATATTTTCATAATTCAAACAAAAACCTATTCTAATACATGAAAATAACCCTCAATCAACAAATTATAATTTGTGATATTAAGCTATGTGCAACTGGTTATTTTCTATGTAAATAAAATATTAAATAGATATAGGAACTAACGTAGTGACTTCATGAAAAGCATTGAGAGAGTTCAATTTCTCACTGTAGAACACATCACAAAACGTCGTTGCCCTTCTTCTTTTGATCTGAAAACAGCAAAACTTAATTCAAACTTTACCACTGTTTTTTTTTAAAATACTGTTGGTTACTTTTGTTAATTGGTACACAAAAAACTAAATTCACCTACACCAAACACACACACATCTATGCTAATATTATAAAAAGGAAAGAATTGGTTTTTTGGATTTTTGTTTGCATTGAAATAACTCAAAAACTACTGGACCGATTTCAAAAGTTCTTGCACCATTAAAAAACTGTATTATTTGTGAGTAACATAGGCTATATCTTTTTTGTAATTTCACGCATGCGAAGTCGTGAGCAACAGCTAGTTTTATTATAAATAAAACACAAATTAATAAAAAAAAACATTTATTAAAATTAACCATATATAAATTATGTCATGATAATTGTAGCTTCAAAAAAATCACAGACAACATTAATTTCTTTTCTCTGTACAATTAAAAATTGCTTTAAAATATTTCTCTTTTCACATCCATAGACAAAATAACCAGGAAGTGTTTAAGATATAAAACCAAGCTTAATAAGGTCCTAAAAAAACTATTGCATAATACTAAAAAATCTATCACCAGTAAGGCCCTATTTCCACTTAGGCGTTTTCCGCGCAACACTGTCCGCGCGTTTTTAAAAAACAGTCGTAGCCCCGCCAGTGGAATGATACAAATTAGCCATTTTTTAAAAAAACCTAATACAACACTTCATGATACTAATTCAAGTGCTTATCGATTCAATAATTCAAACTCCGGTAACATAAAACAACAAAACCAATTAACGTTACTCCTAATTAGTCAACTTTAACTAACGATTAAATTTATCAGTGCGATTTAAGTGTTACGTGCCGATATCTTGACAATTAAACGAAACTATAAATTCACTTTTGCTGTACATTTACAAGACTAAAATAACGCACATTGTCACTAAAGCGAACTGGATTCAATTTTTATTTGATCCATACATTGATTAAATGTTAGCGAATCGTGTAGCAGTTAACTAGGAAACTAAATCAACGACGATAAACAATTCGCTTCAGGTTCGCTTCTCTTTGACTTCCCTAGAAGCGTCTGAAGGATTTGTTTTCCTTGTAGTTTTGAAATATAAACGCACACGCTATTGTGTGTAAACATGTCTACAAATACAAAACCAAGTTTTTCGGCAAAAATAAAGCCAGCGACAGACGCTCAGTTCTAACATAAAACACCGTCAGCAAGCTTTACAAAACGCTCGGAAGCGTAACATCTCTCAAGACATGCATTATTCGCACGTACACAAAGTGCAATGACCTAAAACATGTTTCGTAACTTAATTTTAAGTAATCAATTTGAGACAATTGATTACAAAACGATTAAAACAATGTCGAGATAAATTTTGTCATCGATTTCTCATATCGAAAAGTTGTTCACAATTTATTTTCTCTTGATAAAGAGGATTAACTACCTCAAACAGTAAACTAATTTCATACAAGGAATACTAAGAAGGCTTTACAAAACAAAACTGTGAATTTCGCAGTTAACTCTTTTACTACAAACTTATTTAATAATAAACCTCATTGTACTTTCTGGAATGTTAGAAACTCCGAGCACATATAACATAAGGCAAGATTGAAATTTAAAAAAGTAAAAAAAAATATTTAAAAACTTGTGAAACAATAACGTCAATTGATTACATATAATTTGTGACACTATATATCTTTGAAAACGATTGAAAATAAGACAAACCTTGTGGTGCAATTAAGCTATTTCAACATGATTGTTTCAATAAGATAATCGACATAAACATTCAAAAAAACATTTAAAACTGTCAATAGTCATACAAAAAAAAACATTATAATATACAAATCCAAAAATGACTTATGTATAGAGAGAAAATAATAAAAAAGTGGATGCATGCTTTAGATATATGACTAGAGTGCAAAGCGATAATGAAATTGCAGAAGGAATATAAGACATGTTCTACAAGTGTTACCTATTTATAGAAATACATTAAGTAATATCCATGCAATTGAATTTAACAATAACCTTAATCAATAATTTGTGAACCCCAAGAGCTTGAAAATTGATAAAATACAAAAGAAGTACCGTAGAACCTCGATAACTTAAAAACCTCTATAACTTCAAAAAATAATATGTTCCCTTCCCATCAGAACCCAAAACCTCTATAATATAGAACCTTGATAACTTAAAATATTTTGTGTTTCCCTTGGACTTTAACTTATCGAGGTTCTACTGTACCCAATTTTAATTAAAAATTGAAACAATATCGTAAAGTACAGTAATACCCCGCTTAGCGCGACCCTGTTTTCGCGGTTTCACTATAACGCAAATTTCAAATTTCGCGCTCAAATACCACGCGTTAAGAGTGCGTATAAATATGTAGTTGTTAACTTCTCTATGGTCGCGGTATCGTGTCTTGACTGTATATCAAAATGTAATCTGTAATCAAATTAAAAACAGTGTTGGGTATTATGAACGTATTTTACAAGAACGTAAACAATACGCTATCCAAAAGACAACAAATGTATTTTTCCGTAAAAAATAAGAGTGTTCTCAGAATTAAAGTGATTTGTATTATTTGTATTAATGTGGCTACAAAGGAAAAGGAAGACCGTAGAAAGTATGGATGGATTGTGTGAAAGAGGATATGCTTAGGAAGGGAGTGGATTCAGATATGACGGCTGATAGAGATGTATGGAAGAGCAGCACATACTGTGCCGACCCTCCGTAAGGGATAGGGGCAAGTGGATGGTGATGATTTTTTGCATTAAATTTTGACTATGTTTAATCAAAAACCTCGATATACGCGAATTTTAGATATCGCAATTTTTCTTCGGAACGTATCCCTCGCGTAAAGCGGGGTATTACTGTATTGTTAACATATAAAAGTAAAACAATGCAAGCAAAATTCAGCTTTAACTTAAAAATTACAAGCCTTCTTTTTCACTGGTGTGCAAATGTGATATCCCCGCGCACTTAAGTACTACAGAATAACATTTGTCATTACATTAATCTCAAAAACTTGAATCTCTTATTTTTGTGACTTTGTCATATCATAAAATTTTAAAAGACCTATAATACGATACTAGTAATATTTAAAACAGTTTAGTTAACCACCAAACATATTTAATCTATTTTGAATCTGACATTCAAAATCATCCGAGTCTATAGAATTTGTTACAGGTCAAAGACTCTAAATTACAGCTAAAACCAAACCAGTGAACTTCTTGTAATTACAACCATCTTAAATACTCTAGTAAATAACTTAAAAAACAATAAAGAAAAATAAAGCATAATCTGATCTCCGATTGGTTCGTTCCCATTCTTAATAAGGCATCTTGACTTTTGACATCTGTCAAAATGGACCATAACTTTTTTATGTAAACAAATAATTCGGAATACATAGTAAAATATGTTAATAAATAAATTATCTATCAATAAATTTAACTTAATCATTAGCTCCAAATCCTCGGCTTGTCTCCGCCAGACGAGCACTGCTCCTTTGTACTTCTTATGTTGGCACCACCGCCTTCGAATACGTTCCGTTTCACTTCTGGCTCTTTGTTTGCGCTGCATTTAGAAATATAATTCACATTTTTAAACTTGAATAATTAACATTTTGCTACTTGCAAATGCAAATGCGTGAAAGCAATTTCAGCCAATTTAAATACCCAGCAAATGCAGATACACAATGACCCAATCGACGCGCTAACATTTACACTACAAAAGCAACGTGCAAATAAGTTTTTGTCCTGGAAAGTGATTGAAAAGCCTTAATTATAGCAAAAATAAAAGAAAAAAATTAACGTAATAATGAAAAGTATAAATATTTCTCATCATTTAGTATATATGAGAACGAAATAATCGTGCAAAATAATAACCCTTAACCTTCGCAACTTTTCACGGTTACAGAAGTATATTAATTGATGCATGTTTTGTAAACGCGAATATACTTTCAATAAATAATTGATTTACACACAAAAACAATATCAGTTTCCGCCCAATATTTGCTAAACAATACCAATTAAAATAAAACAGACACGATAATGTCATAAACAAAAATGCAGATATCGACTCATTACGTACAATAATGATGATAAAATGAGGTATTACCCGAGTTAAATAAACAACACATATCTTTTATTGTTGACGGAAAACCGTACATAAATAAAAAGAAACTTTAAAAAAACAAAAAGGAATAACAATATATAGAGATCGTATGTTACAAAAGGCTCGAAGGAGCCAAAAAATTGTAACAAACATCACCATCCCATGTGTTTCGGCTTTGATAACGACGTAGTTTACGTGGCATACAATATTAATAATTACACAAGCCAAGACTGGAGATAAACAAAGCATGAATCAGACACTTCGTTCAACTACGTGCGGTATATTGCGTAGGCAACACCAATACGTTTGGGACACGTCAAATGACTAGATAAACAAGATACTAAAACACAAAAGCACGACACTGACGAAATCCGAGAAGAGGTGAATAAACAATTCTACGGTCTAACTTAAAATTGTACTTCCTAATTTAAGAGAGTAAAAATATCTGAATGTTGAATCGCAAGGTTTAACTGTAAAAGTAATGAATAGATTTTTAGGTCTAACCCAAATAAGAAACTTCTATCAGCGAGTTTTTAGTTTCTCCTCTTTCTTTCGAGAGAAAGAGATTGTGGTTCCTTCTCAGGGTCTCTTGTAACTTGACTATAGTCTATATCTATACTATAATATAAAGAGGAAAGATTTGTATTTTTGTATGTAAGTCAAAAACTACTGGGCCGATTTTAAAAATTCTTTCACCGTTAGAAAGGTAATTTATTTTTGAGTTACACAAGCTATTATTTTTTAATTTCAAGCGGACGAAGTCGCGAGCAACAGCTAGTTAGTAAAAAGCAATAACTTGCACGTGCTAAATTGTCGCAATTCGTCGCGACGAGAGAAATTTTCAGCACAATTATGTTTCGCGATATTGCAATTTTTATAGTTTTAATGCGTTAACAATTTACTACTGATAAGATTTCGTACACTTTCATGATTTTTGCGCGACTAAAGTACGCCGAGTTTTGTATTTATCTGGGATTGTATGTCAGTACCATTGTTACCTTTTGTTTCTAAACGATTGCAGCTGCTGTAAGAATTATATTGTTTCGCGGTAGTTCGGTAGGCATATTGATTTTTAATTTACGCTTCATGAACGTTAGTTATGAGTGTGGAGGTACACCGGTAAAGGTAGACTTAGAAAGAGATGGATGGATTGCGTGAAAGGTGACATGATCAAGAAGGGACTGATAAATGAAATGACGAAAACCTTTTGTGATCACCCTACGGGAGTAGGATGAGGACGCTGATCTAATTTAAACTTCATATTCACATTTAAATCTAGATTACTACCACGCTACCTATCTCCATGTATTTATAATTCCAAATCGATCGACAGCATTCAGTAACAGCGACCTTGTCATTTTTCTATCGTATTTATGTTTAGCCCGTATCTATTTAACTCAAAGCATTGTTTTAACTAGTCTCGTATACGGGCATAATTGAAGGTCTAACTTTTTCACATAATACTTAAATAAAAACTGCTATGTTGCAACTAAAATTATATTTCTTCTCACAGACAGTCTTAAAAATAAAATTTGACCAGTAATGTCATAATGAAAAAAGGCATTAAAATGATATAAAATCGGAAAACTATACTTAATAGAAAAATAAATAAAACTTAAAAAATATTGAAAGGTAGCAACGTACAATCATTTCAGGTGAATCGGTTTAAAACTTTGTCAACGCTTGAGTCAAAGTATGACTACACTCTGATCGAGCATGCGCAGGCGCACGTATGCTTTGTACTAATGTCCTAGTCATTAGGATTACTTAGATTAAGTCGTGAAACTCACCATTCATCATTAAATGCTAAGCAGAAACTTTGTTAATGTGAACAAAGCTTTAAACACACAAAACATTTTAAAATAAAATATGGTTCTAAGGGCAATGGGAAACAACTAATTACTTCAAATAGATAGAAAGCATGTTTAGTATATTACAAAATCTAATCTACATAGTAGAAAATAATCTCGTTTTTTTAATATAACGATGTCTGTATATTTCATACAGTGACGACTTAGTGCACACACCTGAAACTAAACTATCGCACAACTGTTTAATCTCACTTTGATTCCTATTAACTTACATGGATATTACACTACTCGATGTTTAGTTGTGCAACTAAACAGTTGAATTGGCTGCGAAACTGTATAATCAAAGGTGTGCACCTCTACTTATAATTAGGCCAACCATCACTTCGGCCAAGAACATGCTTGCTCCAAGACCTCATACGTGCGTCTTATTGTAAATGCCACATAAACCAACTTTCGATTCGACCACACAAGTGAAAGGTGCGTGTCTGTTACAGACATTGACGCGCTAATTTATATTAAATTATTGTGTAAAAATATTTATTTGAAAGATTTATGGGGCGTTATCGTCGCTTCGCGACTAAGCCCCCTGTAAAATAAATTTAAAAAAAAAATTGAGTTACGTTGTATCCTAGGTCTAGTCAGCCTTCAATCAATTACTAATAAACTTCTCAAATTACAGTAGTAAAATTAATTATAGAAACAATAATTCTAATTACAAGAGTATTGTAATTGACGACGTAATAACTGAAATCGATTTAAAATCAAAAGACTTTAAAATTTCATATAATTTGGTATAACTACCGTTTCATATCATACTAATATTATGAATGCGAAAGTTTAGATGGATGGATGGATGTTTGTTAGAATTTGTAGCCTAAACAATGAATATATATAAATGAAATTTGGTACATGTGTAGAACATAGTCTAAAAGAACATAGAAGATACTTGCTTTTGATTGTTTTTAATTCCACGCGGACCGAGTCGTGGGCAAAAAGCTAGTGAAATTATAAGTTGAAATACAAGAACTCTTTTAACAATCAAGGTACGAAGCTTATAAAGCGAACTCAAAACATGCAATATTTGTCCTACTCTCCCTAGTTACATAAATGATGACTTATTACATAATCTATACTATATAATAAGACGAAAGAATTGTATTTTGTATATTAAGATAACTCAAAAACTACTGAGCCGATTTGAAAAAATCTTTCACCATTAAAAAGGTAATTTATCTGTGAATAACATAGACTATGTATGTATTTATAACATTGGTTGAAGAGGAAAGTTTTGTATTTCGAATGTATTTGATTCACGTCAAAACTACAAAGCCGATTTTTTAAATTGTCTTTTATTATTTTTAAACAAGCGGACGAAGTTGCGAGCAACAGCCAGTGACCAATAAGATAGTTGATTTCGAGAGTGACTTAATGAATCAACTCTAGATCACAAATCTAGATCAGAGCATCTTATTTAAATAATCGTGTTAAAAACTTTTTATTCAAATTCAGACGTGTTATGTGTTAAAATCCAATTAATTTCATAAAAACCTACATAGGAATATATTGATACGCCGCAAATTACGTATTTTTAACATATAAATCAATAATAGACAAAACAAGAACGATATTTGAACCAAAACGTTACCACGTATATACAATGAACGCAATACATTTTTACGTAATATATTTTTTATGTAATATTACTACAATGACCGTATTATACGTTAAAAGCGAACAGGTATACAAAGACAATTTGCTATGGACACGAGGCACCAATCATGCTTCATACTAATATTACAAATGCGAAAGTTTAGATGGATGGATGTTTGTTAGAGTTTGTAGCCTAAACGCCTGAAAGGATTTCGATGAAATTTCGTATAGATGTAGAGGATAGTCTGAAAGAAAACATGGGCTATTCACTTTCTTTTTTTTAATTCCAGGCGCACGGAGTCGCGGGCGAAAGCTAGTCAATTAATAAACTTTGCAAAGCTTCTAGTGCGATCATATTATACATGTACGTTTTTATTAAACACCTATTTTTTACTTTCTTCTAAAACATTCTTCAATCATAAGTAGTATTAATTATTACAGCGCACAAAATACTGGTTTAGATCGAAATTATACAAAACTAGCTTTCAATCGCGACTCCGTCCGCGGGAAATTTAAAAGAAAAAACAAAAGCAAGCCGCCTATGTGTTCTTCCAAACTATTCTCTACGTCACTAAATTTAATAGAGATCCGTTCAGTAGTTTAGGCCTTAGGCTACAAAACACCTAAACTTTGGCATTTATAATATTAAGTAAGAAAAAAGATTGACTAATAATTTATTTGGATTCCTAGTTTGGTATGCTCTAGCAGGACTTCGGAAGACTAAGATTGGATAAAGAGGACATACCAGTAAAAGTAGGTTTTGATCATACTAATATTATAAATGCGAAAGTTTGTATGGATGGATAGATATTTGTTAGAGTTTGTAGCCTAAACTGCGGAACGGATCTCAATGAAATATGGCATAGATGTAGAGAATAGTCTGGAAGAACACATAGGCTATTTGGTTTTGTTTTTTTAATTCCCCGCGAAGTCGCGGGTGAAAGCTAGTTAAGAAATAAACATTTCCCGAATCTATTAACACATCACCGTCTCTACAGTGTGTTGCTAAGCCAGAGTCAATGTGTTTCATAATTATCATTAGACAATAGGAATTCGATTCTTTGCGTCGTTTTATTTTCTGCGTCACTTATTATTACGTGATCGTATTTTTGTTTTAAACACAATGAAACGGATAGTAATAGACTGCGAAAATCCAAATGTACATTCCAGTAAAGCATTGTTTTAATAAGAAATTGACAAATACACATTACAAAACATGTGGTGGTGGCTCCATATCACGATGGAGGAGACGCATAGGAAGGGGAAATAACCTCTTATGTGCGTCTCCTACTCCGTCAATTAAGGGTAGGCAACGCATCTGCGTTTATGGATGTTTATGGGCAACGGTCGCTTTACATTTCGGTGGACTCAAGTGGCCGCTTGCTCGTTTTCCACCTTATATTATAAAAAAAAATAAAAAGTACAATGATCCTTATGGCAAACATCCAAATAATTCTGCCCCAATATTGGCAACAAAATAACATGTGGATTTTGGTTTTGATATCCAATGTTTTGGCAATATTTACCTATTTTTTGTATAGAAATATGTTTCTTGAAATTCAAAAGAAATTTATCATAGTGAAATCAATAAAGCATTATGTTTGAAAATTTAAAGTGATAAAAACAATTAGGTAGATAACAATTATTACGCAATATTACTAAAAGTTGGGTCAAATTTATATAATCTAGTGGTTTTTTGACTTTAAAGAGGAAAAGGTTCTCAATTCTTCTGTATTTTTATTACTTCACTAGGTGTTTCTCACGATTTTGTTCCCGTCAAATTAGAAAAGTAAAAAAAATCGCCTATGTTACTGATAAATTATCTTTAATGGTGAAGGATTTTTGAAATCGATAAAGTATTTTCTGAGCTATTTCTAATCAAACAAAAATACAAATCTTTCCTTTTTAACTTATTAATATATACAATTCCCTTTAGTTGGCTTTTCTATAATCTTTTTTACCAAAGAATTACATTATTGTTAAAGTCATGCACTCATCGCAATATAAAAATCAATTAGTTTTAAGAAACTACGAAATATTAAGGAAAAGAAGCAAGAAATAAGGTTTTACGATAAGGGACCATTTCAAAGCATAATAAGCATTAATGTTAGAAAGTTTAGCATGCCAATAATACAATGCAGAAATTTATTGAGATTAAAATACTATCAACAAATTATTTTTATTACAGTTATCTGTATATTGAAAACTTTATCTTTACATGAAGTGTATTAAAGTAATTAAGAATTTCTGCAAAGTTAATCTCAACAGGAAAATAATTCAAATAGGATTGTTTTAAATAACCATCAATTTGCAAAAAATCTGTTAAATATAAGACTGATGGAAGTTTAAAATACAATAAGTAAATAATTAAAATCGTACCTGAGCATAATCCTGAAGTTCTCCAATTGTCGAATACTATTCGAGAGTCTTGCAAATGCATTGAAGAGTGCAACAATTTCAGTTCTCTGCAGTCGTTTATTTGCCTTATGTCTGACTGGCAGCGTTCCTTGCACCGGATCTGCCTCAAGGCTGTCCCATTGTGAAGAAAATAGAATCTTCAAAGCGGTACCTAAGCCTTGAGTCTGTAATTTACCCCACAGTTTGCATTTGTCACAGCCAACACAATCCATTATTCTCGAAATATTCCAGAAGTGTTCACGAAACTCATTCTTCAACTTTGCAGCTTGACTACCCCCATTAAACATCGCAGATTCATTAAAATGATCAGGGAACGAGTATATTACACTCAGCATATTGCTTATCGCTGCCCTTGTCTCTTCATCCTCTGTGGGGTTTCCAGTAAAATAATCTTCGGTTTCCAAGTATGGACCAGCTTTGGACAATGCACGCATTTCCAGTAAATAAACGAAATACAAATTTTTCAACCAATTGGGACCTTCATTAAGGGTTTGAGATGGATCAAAGCGGCGTTGAAATTCCTCCAAGTTGGGTCCCCACTCACCATCAGGTGGTGCAGCAAAGTCTACTCCTTTTTCTGACAGCAAATAATTTGAACACAAATGAATATTAATACTGCTATGGAGACCAGATACTGCTCTATAAAATACTCTTTTCTCTAGACACATATTACTCAAATCGGAACTGAGTACATATGGAAAGGATTCATATGGGTTTAATTTAGGTCTGAAGCAATTTTCCTGGTAAATACTTCTCCAAATCCTATGAGCAGAGGGTCCCTTATAACCTGTATACCTTTCAGGATTTAGAGACAGGTCCACATACTCGGCCTCCACATCTCTGTCATCACATTCACAGAAATTCTCCAGTGCACTGTCATGGGCATTCCATTTCGCTATTTCGTACTGGCTAGCTGCACTTATTGTCATATTTAGGTAACCTAAATCGGGATCATGGTCCTCATCAGTACTACAAGCCGTTTCATCAATCTTAGTGTACTTTTCAGCTGGCGGCTCAATTTCGTGCTCGTCGACATATCCCGGAACGCTCTCCTTCGAGCAAGTTTTAATATGACAATATTTCATCGCACACCTGCTGTCGTCAGCCCAAAATGGACATTCCTTTTTCAAATTGACCTTGTAGAAGCGAAAATAATCTTTACTGACTAGACTCTGAATGCGGGGAAAAATCTTCACGTTATTAAAATAGTCGATAGTGTCAACATTGCACGAACAATCCCCCAATGCACCGTGAAGAGCGTCGAAACAAGCATTACTGTCGCAAGGCGCCGTTTCATATAGTTCAGTGTCGTAACTAACCGCCTGGACTATCGCTACAGTGAAAATCATAAACATAACACAACAATTTTTCGATGCCATTTTTGTAACAATTACGTTCGCACCGATTACTTTAAGACAGAAATATGCCACTCCAGTTTGATGGAAGACAGCCAATGTTTGTTCAAAAAAATGAATTTGTTTTTAATCACATCACAGTAACTAAAGAATCATAATTTCACACATCAAAAATAAACAACAAGTGTACTAAGTAAACCAAAAAATTACATTCGGCAGCAAACGTTCAGACATATCTAAATAATGAAACGAATGAAATGACCAAAATATATGACTTCTGACGTTCGTGGAACAAGGAAAATAATCATGTGTCAACGTCAAGTAAATGTCACTTGACACAGGTTATAAAGATTTTATTCATGTGATACAGAAGATATATTTTGGAATGTTGCCATTTAAAAATATTTTAAAACAATTTATATCTCTTCAGATTAAATTGAATTTAATATTTTAACGTTATTTGCAATTAGTTGATCGAGAGCATATGGCATGAAGCCAATTCGACTATTTAATTTCTAAGTTTGAGCGCTATTTTCGTATTTTTTTCTTCTCAAATATAAAAGTATGTTTCACTGTGCCAGTATTTGGATTTTGTAGTTTTAATTAAATAATAACTGAAGAATTTGCAACAAAAACTCCATAATGATACAAAATTGCTCAGATATACTGAAATGAAGCAAGGTAGTCAAAAATATGCCAATACGCATATACGCAATAATAACGCAAACCCAACGTATATAGATATAGGATACAATTTCATGTTCGTGAAGATAAGTCAATTGCGTCAGTGGCTCAGGGATATAAGCTCTTGACTAGCTCTAGTAATCTGCCGGTCTTGGGTTGGAATCCCGCAATATGCCAATGTTTTTCAATTTTCGAATTTAATATGTACATAATTTACCCGACATTCTTACGGTGAAGGAAAACATCATGATGCAACCTGCACCTAAATTTCTAGTCACAAGTCACTTAGTAGGGGATAGTGAGCCGGGGATGATGGAGTTAAGTATTAAAAGGATATATTAAAGAAAAGAAACACTTTAGTTGGTGGAACTTTATTTATAGCCAAATAATGTAAAACATATATTAATATCTGAAATGCTTAAGAGATTCAATAATACATTTACTCCCGCTTACACAGCAGCTCTATCATATAAGTCGAAACACTTATTAAATCACATTTACATAGAAATGCATACAAATATTAACATTATAATCATATAAATATAATCTGGACGTCTAATAAGTTGAAATAGGAAAATACTTTTTTTAAATGGTTTCTTATAATTTTAACATTCGAAAGTGTCTTAACTAACTTAATCTTAACCTTAATAATATATCTGAAGTCATACAACAAAAATGTATTAACCAAAAAAAAAAAATTAACGCATATATTATCTGTGATGGAATTAAAATGCTTAACAGAATAAAAATAACAAATACTCTATTTATCTGTACCATTAGTGTTGGTAACATTGCAGTTATTTGATGCGTTCGTAATAACTCGTTATTCTCGAAACTAAATATGCTTCGAGAAAGAGTTTTAAAATATATTTGTGTTCGATAAAAGTTTTCTTTGAATAAGGTGGGCCAGCATTATCTCTTAATATAATAACTTGTACATATTTATCCATGTGCAGTCCACGATGTCCTCTCGTTCGTTGTCTCGAAGTATTATTTAAGCGTACCTGAAATCGATATCGACATTAATTTAAGATAAATCGATTATTCTAATCTGTTAAAACAATCGATAATTTTTACTGGTACCATAACAAAAAGGAACTAAAAAACGCAAGTTAACACAAAACCGTGCAAGCAAACTAAAAAAAATATAAAAAATCATGCAAGCTATTATACATCACATAAAACATTTGAAGTAGTGTTGCCATGGCGAAAACATTGTAATCTATGGCATCACATACAAGTTATTGACTACATCTTTAGCGTGCAGTTAGTATTTACATAAACCCACTTACCATGTGCGAAATTAGTTGCGACATATTTTTAACACTTAATTTTAAAATATTACAAAGTATATTTCAGAAGTTCCAAAACAAATACAATCTTACTAATTAATTAAGTATTTTCATATACCATTTTTTATCTTGTTTTTTTTTTTTAATTATTTACTTAACTTAAATATAGGTAATCTATAAAGAGATAAATAATGTATCAAAATCTGAAGTCTATAACAACTTGGTAATATCACATTTTAAAAACCACAACAAAACATTTATTTTCAACAAAGGCGATCAAATTTCAGGCCTTCACTGTAATTTAATGAAAATTTCAATGTCCATTATACAGTTAAAAGAGAAACAACCGATGTTATAAGAAATCTTTATTGGAGATAATCATATTATAAACTCCTCTAAAGGCACTATTAGCAAGACAAATACAAATCCAATGACATACAAAACAAACCGGTTAATACGACATCGGTCGAAATTACACCGATTATAATGACGTTAATTCCAAGTACAATACCTGTGCAGACTATTGAATATAACAATAATGCTGATGTCGATATAACCGGTTTGAAATTACAAATATATTATATCAAAAAGAGCTCTTAAATAGATGACAATTTGGCACTGTGATAACACGTTCACTGCGTAACAGGCCGATATCGACCTGACGCGGTACTTAATCTTGTGGCGGACAATGAAAACCATGTCGCTTTCGCTAGTATGAAACGATTATCTCAGATGTACATTACATAAAATGTTTTTATGATTTAATATACATTAATGTGGTGGGTCTAGAAAGACCTGCCACGCTTTGGCGGAAATATTATTGGGGGCGCATTTCGGCCCGCCGCCGCAATAGATAAAGAATTTTGCTTCCCGCAGTAAACGTGTTAATGTTTTATCATCATAAAGACCACAAGTGCTTCTAAACATGGAAAAGCTAAATCTAAGTCATTTTAAACATTATTAAAAAGCTAAAAAACATCTTTAAGTTAATATCGTAGTAAAAATGATTATATTTTTTATATCATCCTTTATTAAACACAAAAATTATAGAAACACAAGTCTTTATGTTGTTAATATTAAAAATATTCCAAATTATGAACACAGAATAAGTTTGGCAAGAGAATAATAAAAATATTCTAAATTATAGATTAATAATTACTTAAACGCTTGGTAAAAAAATTACTGGCACTTTTGTGCTCTTTCGCATTATGAGATTCTTTTTTTTAATCAGTCGATTTTAAATTAAATGCAATTATTGTCAGCCATGTTTTACTATTGTTATTAAATAGAAAGACAGGATCTAATCCTAATTTAATTTTTTTTCGTTCTAGAACATTCGAGTACTGTTTTTTAAATACAAAAAAGGTAGAAATCTTTTGTGCTTTTTTTAAATGTTTGAATTATATGTCAACATCCATTCAATTCCTTATTTGTATAGTTACTTGTTACTTTTTCTATAAATTTGTTTTGATTTTGAATCCAATATTTTTTTAGTTGCCTTTACCATTTTTTTTTTCAAATGTACAAAAATAGAAGAGTTACAGTTACAATTTGCACAAATATTTTGTTAGTAAGCTATACAGACCCAAAATAAGCATATTATTTACGTTCAGATCGCAATAACAAGACGAACAACATTTTCTGATTAAAATAAACGATTTATAAGGCATGAAACAATATTGACAATATAAAAAAATCTTGTAAAAATGAATATAAAACATAGAAATGCAATGTTGTCCGTCTTTACATATACTCACCATATAAAAACATCAATAAATGTGTTATAAAAACATTGTAACAAAGTTAAATATCAAACCAAAAACCTTTCATAGTATATTTAACCAAAAATCCACTCGAATTTTGTTACCAATTAAAAAACCAAGTGGAATTAAAAAGAAAAGTGTCGTACAGCCATGCAGTGACACAGCCACCTCACAAATAGCCAATTAAAAAAACATAAAATGTGTTTTATAGGTACCAGTTGGAAAATATAAAATATTAGTAGCGAGACCTTCTGTCCATGTTTCTTATGGAGTTGGCGAGGCACAGCGCGAACAGCGCGCCAACCACCTGTAATTACGTAAAAAAAACATTAATGTATTGTTTCGGCATTACGCAAAACATTATCTAATTATGGCATATCCCTTAGAGTATTATAAAAAAGGTACTGACATAAATAACTAGACAATTACCTAATGTAATTAATTAAGTAGCATTCGTAAAAAAAACTAATTAGAACGTGACCAGTCACCAAATTATTAAATATAGTTTTTGAATTATTTCAATACATACAAAAATACAAAATTTTCCTTTTTACAATATTTGTATAGATTTAATTTAATTCCAATACTCCTATTTCTGATAAGAGCATATTAAAAATCCATTACTGGTTTTGTAGTAAAGTCGACATACCTCAATACAGGCGACGCCGATAGCTACACCAGCGATGGTCTTGTTCCACTTGTCGTAAAGGTCGGCTGTACGCGGACCGCAGCCGATGGCATTAGCATCAGCGATGGTGCAGCGGCTGAGCAGCTTGCCCACCACGCCGTTGGCACGTGTGCAGCACGAGTCGGGCAGATCGGAGACGCCAGCGATCACGCCGTAGTCCGCCGGGCTCGACTTACCGCAGCACTCCAGCTGTACACGAGCGTAAATTTATTACAGAGACTAGAAAGGTGATAGACCAGATTTGCCTGTCCTACGCATCTTCTCCGTCGTCAAATCCACTGTTTCTTCCCATACTTTCCACTGAAGAAAAGGATGGAAAGGAAAATGAGTTAAAATAAGGCCTCCAGCACTACACTCATCAGACGAAACGCGGAATTGCTCCCACTTCACGCCTGTCTTCTGTGTGGTCGTGGTATTGCTTCGGGCGAGCCAGCCCATTCGTACAAATATATTAAAGCGGGCTCTACCACTGTTGGCGTTAGGACAAAGTTGACATTAGCCTAATTAAGAACAAATACATTTATGTTGTATTAAAGAATGAGTCATTTATATTAATAGACTGAAATAACATATTTCCAGTGGATTTTCCTCGTTTATAATCTGTCTGTTATGTATTTTGTACAGCTAATTATAAATAAAGATATAAGGCAAAGTACTTGTTGCTGGATGTTGTTGAACACAGTATTAGCTGCGGGGTCGGTGGCGCGTTTGTCGAACACTCCATTGACGCTCTTCACGAGGGCTTCCTTCATCGTATCCGCGTATGTGAACATTAGCACGGCCAATACCACTTGCACTATGATGATCACCAAAAGGAAGATCGCGTACTGCAAACAGAATGTCACTTTATCAGACAGAGTTACATTTTTAGAATAATTATAAGAGGAACCAAATAAGAATTATCTTACATTACGACAATATATTGATTCCTTATATTGGAAACTGAATCATGCCATATATACAGTTTCTTTTAATGTAGCTAAATTTAATAGAAAGTAATTTTAAAATGATACTGTCCCGCCTAAGACATAAAAAACCTGGTAGTCTTGCATGACACGTCGCAAGACACGATCTAAAAGGAAGCGGTGGAAACGAAAGCCGCTTTCCATAGAGAGTTCAACTCGCTCGGTAGTTTGTACTATTGGAATTCGTAACAACACGCTTGAGGTCAACTGGTATTACTTAGTCATTGTTGTACACACAGACTTTCTCCAATTGTTGAATACTCAATCTGTATATTTTTTTTAAACGCGTTAAATATTAGACAGGACTTTACAACACTAGAATTGACATGTTTCATACAATGTTTTCATTAAGCGACCGTTCGCACGGGCAGACTTTGTACGCCGCGGTAAAGTTCAAGGTCAGCAGACTTTTTACGCCCACGAGATAGGTGTTCGTAC